TGCGCTGGGCTACACAAAAGGTACCTCAACAAGTTGTTTCCTATTTCTGTAGAGTGCTAATAATGTTTGTTTCCGATTCTGATATTTAAGCTTGCCCAGGGGGGAGTGGGGTAGACAAACTACTGGATATATATACACACACAGTGGTGTGAAAAAGTGTTTGCCCCTTTCCTGATTTCTTATTCTTTTGCATATTTGTCACACTTAAATGTTTCGGCAATCAGCAATCACTTTTTCAAACAGGCCCCTGTAGGTTTGGATTTCTTTTTCCCTTTCCCTTTCTTTTTTATCTTTGTCTAATATTTAAATTTGTTTGGTGATCTGAAACATTTAAGTGCGACAAACATGCAAAAGAACAAGAAATCAGGAAGGGGGCAAACACTTTTTCACACCACTGTATGTGTGTGTGTATATGTATGTGTATGTATGTATGTATGTATGTATGTATGTATATATATTTATATATATATTATTAGGTAATTGGTGTGTCAATCATGAGTATTCCTATTCTGTGGAAAAAAACATCTGAATTTCTTCAGTTTTGCCACCTATAAATAACAACTGCTTTCAGTAGTTTTGCTCTTTTATTTCTTATTTCTGTCTTGCTGTGCTCCTTACAATATAGGAACTTTTGCTTGAAAAGTGTTATTGATAATACATTTCCTAAGGTGTCTGGATGTGTCTCTGTGTTTGCTTATCTCTCTGTATGTATTATAGTTCATTTATGTCTGGTTTCATACTCTGGGCACTTGAATATGCATAAGGACAGAGAAATCCAGAGTGCAGAATTCAGAGCACAAAATTCTTGGCTTCACGCTTGTTGTTGCTTGGGATGGGAGGGCCAATAGGTAATAAACACATCTCTGGGACAGCTTGTAACTATTGACTAGAGTGTTGTAATCAAGCCAGCGTGCCTGGAATCCATATCACATGCCAAGGAATTTGGAGATGTCAAGTGGCCTCTAGACCCCTATGCACAAGTGCATTTATTAATAAAAACATTTGTGCTTGTGCATGCCACTTCTTGTAGTAAGATTAGAAATCTAAATCAGTTGTGTGGTAGATAATATATTCACATGACTATGTCATTGACTGATTTCAACATTTAAAAGCTAAAGTTAGTTGCAGACATGTACTGTAGTCTTTTTGTCACTGTTTTTGAAGAATACTTTGGATATTAGAGGAATAAACCATGTTGATAGCACACATATTGCTTTAAAACTGCTCAAGAAAAAAGATTTAAGAAAAAAGCATTGCAAGCATGGTTAAACGAAGTGTCCACACCCTTATTGAAATTGCAGATTTCATGATGTAATGACAAAAATCATTTGGACCTCACTTCTAACTATTTTCTATAACCTATGGACTGAAGGTAAAAGGTACAGTTAAAAGAGAGACTGCCAAATGCACCTATCATGTGCATTAGGTAGCCTAATAAGAAAATATTTTCATATGATAATGTTTAAATTGCCATATTATTTTGGTTAGTGAAACATATTGCACTAGTTTAGCTGAATAATGCTAAAGAAGAAAAAATAAGCACATGTTACAGACTATTGTAGCATAGTCAAAATAGCAGTGGTCACATTTTTCAGTATGGGGAAAGTATATAATTCAAAACAAGTCGCACGCATGTCTAACCAAATTGATGCACCTTTTGATGATTTTAGAAAATCAGCTGGTTTCGTATGAATGAATCATGTCTCACTATTTGAAGTTAGTTTGTTTTGAATCTTGTTCCTTATGAGGTCTGAATTCAAAGCTTATACAGAGTAAGCATGTGGGAACACAGATGAGTGATAAATCAAATTATATATTTCCATCCAGCAACTCTAAATCAGCCAGTAAAGAAAATCTGGTTCTTGTTATTTGTTATGGGTTAGAATCAGGGCAGCTTGGGTTTTCTAAAAAGTTAATTGTTGACTGCATACTTTTTCTCTTGATTGGGCCAAATCTCTTTAACACTCCTTATGGGGCTCACCTTGTGTAGAATATACAGATGCTTCAAAGACAGAATTGTTACAACATCTGGTTGTTGTATTAACATGTCCACTGAACTTTAAAAGGGATTTATGGCCTCCTCAGAAGTTACCCTGTGGTGCAAAATTCCTGCGAATGCCTTTTATTCATCTGTGCCTCCCAATACCATGGCAACGGCTAATTATAGCATTCCACAGATTCCCTTTAAAGACGGGAAGGAAGAAAATTACAGGCATCTCTTGGCCCTGTGGCCTCATTGCTCGCATCATTTTGGAATATTTGAGAGGTGATTGGTTGTTAAAGTAGCAATGAGCATATATGTACTCACATATATGTGTATTTTTATTTCGTTTGTATTTTTGTTTCATTTGTGTCTGAAAGTAGACAACTACATGGCTGCTAATAGGCATTCAAATATTTTCTACTCATATAAAGGCAAATTAGCATTGCTTTCTTCTTGCTATCTGTCTAGATCTGTTTGTATCCTAAATGGTATATCTGATTCTCTAAAGCTCAAGTCCTGCACCAAGTGATTTGGAGACTTCTGTGGCTCTGAGTGGATACTGATGAGAAGTCCAGGCTAACATACAACAGCTGATCAAAAATTCTGATGGTGTCCTTTACAACATTACTTAGTGGATTAATGCAGGGGTTCCCAGACTTTTTTATGCCAGCACTAATGTTAAGATTTCTCAAAAAGTAATTAGTCCACTTTCTCAATATAATGTTCTTTCGATCAACAAACACAATATTGAACATGATAAAATGATGACACTTGCATAGGCCTACATTATTGCAAGCTTATTGAAATTATGATATAGAAGATGATAAAATAACGACAGCACATTGGTTTTGTATTTTATTTTTGTTTCAGCTGTTTAGCTGTAATCTTTTCAGCTGTGACCTTCAGTATGAACACATTAATACATTTCATTAGTTGGAGATATTAGTTGGACCTTACATGTCTCATGTAAACCTGTTCTTATCCATGTTGTCAGCTACACTCTTAAAAAAACCAAAGCTCTTCAAGGGTTCTTTAATAAAGAAAATGGTTCTATAGAACCATGAACACTCAAAGAACATTTTGCAGGATTAAAGGGTTCTTTTGACAGATAGAGAATGTGCTATGGATAGTTCTATATAGAACCTTTTTAAAAAGGGTTCAACATAGCACCAAAAGCGTTCTGCTATTGTTTGTGTCACGCTTGTAACAACAGAAGAATGCTTTTTGAAGAACCGTTCAATAACTTTTTTTTAAAGCTTTGTAGTTTATTAGGTTAGCCAGCTGTGAACTCTAAACACACTTGATTAATCAGAACCGACGCATGCCATATACCATCATTGTTTATTCAAAATCCTAAACCACCCCTCAACACTGTGTGGCTGTGATTACTGTGCATGGCCCATATGAGAGTCCATAGTGTAATAAGACCATTCCTTTTTACAGAAACTCTCGAGATTGTCCAGGGCCCTAGGTCCTCTCTTGTGCACTCTTGTTTAGCTCACCCTACAGGTTTTCTATGGGGTTTAGATCAGGGGACTGAGATGGCCATGGCAGAAACTTGGTTATGTTCAGTATGTTTTGGATCACTGTCCTGCTAGAAGATCCAGTTATGACCCATTTTTAAATTTTGATTTAAAATGTGCTGGTATTTCATGGAGTCTATGATGCCATGTACCCTAACAAGGTTCACAGGGCCTTTGGAGGAAAAACAGCCCCACAAAATCACAGACCCTCCACCATGCTCAACAGTGGGCATCAGGTTCTTCGCTGTGTAGTCATCTTACTTTTTATGCCAAACCTTTGACAGGTGTATTGCCAAAGAGCTCAATTTTCTTTTCATCTGACAATAGAAGACAGTTCCAGTCCCAGTGGCAGTTAGCAAACTTTTGGAGCTTGTGTTTCTGGTTGGATGACACAGGAGGGCCTCTTCCGTTCTCTTCCTCAGCTTGAGGACTTGCTCACGGCTCATGGAGTCACTCTTCACACTACTGTGATGGCAGCGACAGCCAGTAGCGCCCCCTCGGCTGCTCTCTGCCTCCTCCATTGCCCACTGTGCTGTGGATGCCAGTGAGGTTGGCTGCTTGTGTACACTGGAGCTCTGATGTTTGGCCTTGACCAACCACGCCACCAGTAAATGTTGCCAGGCTGCCACACTGCCCTGCCAGCAGGTCCTTGTGGGCAGCCATTGTCTTTTTTTGCTGTCCGCCAGCAGGGTACTGCTGACGAGCCTCCTCATGCTGCCTTCACCACCTTTCCTTGCCAAGCTGCCTCTTCTTCAGTCTTCAACCCGGCTAGGTCCTCTCCGCCATTTGGCCTTTGGATTTGTAGAAGTGCCATTCTCCTCCAGACAGCTAGGGGTGCATCCCACCTCTGACACCAGTGTGGTATCTGCGAAGAAGATGACGTGAAAAACGCAGTGATTTAAGTGAGAACCGCTGCTCACCTCGATGGCTGAACAAGCCAGTAGCAGGAGACTGAAAACATATCCATTGTGCAAGTTCCTATTTACCTCGATACTTGACACTTGCTACTTAAAAATACATGCGTAACTCACTTGCTCACACACATACTCATGAATGTAATAAAGAATGTCATATATTAAAAAAGGGTGCTGCATGAGGTCTGACATAAAACATCTAAAACATCGTATACAATGTATATCCTCTGCGGTATTATAGATGTGAGGTGAAATCAAACAATATGTTACTCTCAGGTTGACCAAGATCGTTAACAAGACTGGCCAGTTGGCTAAGGCTACCTTTTTTTATTTTGTCTGAATTTTCACTAACATTCAAACTAATCAAAACTGTAGAATTTATTTGTTTTTATTTATAGATATTGAAACCTTGACATTTGACATAACCCCTGACATTTGTGCTGATTTTTAGTGGCCTTCAAGTACAAATTTTTTACATAAGTATTTTAGTTTCTCTAGACAGAGGCTGAGGGCAGTGCTGGTTTGACTGGCTGCTGTTATACATCCAAAACCTAATCTTTTTACTTGTTTGTCTTACAGCCCTGCAAGACCTTTTCGGTTCCCCAAAAGGTAAGATTTTTTTCCCCCACTGTATGTAGTATAAATTATTTTTTCTAAATTCTGTTTTAATTTCTTAAACATTTTTGTTATTTATTTATTTATTTAATTTTTTTAGATTATTTTAATGGAAGGAAGTTTATAAAAACTGCAGTAACACAAACAGTGGATAAATAGCATTCAGTAACAGCAGCAAAATCAGGGTCACATTTATGAATGAACTCAGTCACTCATGTTTAACAGGCTAAAGTTTCTCCACATGGGGGTTCTGTTAGCACTTATAGTTTGCATTTTGGAAGTATATAATGTAAAATACCTGAGACATACCCTATGTAACTACACAAACACAGAGTATATTCAATGCTTCCTTTGTTGGCTGAGATGCATGAAAGCGCCAGTGGAGTTCTGCATTAGTGACACTGCATGTCATTTTTTATATTATTGGTATTTCCTGACAATTAAGTAGCTAATCCTTATGCCTTTACCAACATGCCAGAGCTAGATGTTGTGCACGTCATGATGTACACAGAAACACACTACACTCTAAAAAAAAAAAAAAGATGGTTTTTCAAGGGTTCTTTAGCAAAGACATTTGTTTTTATATAGAACCATGAACATTCAAAGATTCCTTTTCTTGATTAAAGGGTTCTTTGCATCATAAAAGGGTTCTTTAGATTGAATGAGAATATGCTGTTGATGGTCCTTTTTGAAAAGGGTTCTCTATAGCACCAAAAAGCGTTTTTCTATTGTTATGATGCCAAGCTTGTTACAATAGAAGAACCCTTTTTGGTGCTATATAGAACGCTTTTCAAAAAAGTTCCGTATAGAGCTATCTACAGCACATTCCATCAATCAGAAGAACCCTTTTATGTTGCAAAGAACCCTTTTTAAATTACATAAAACATTTAATTGTTCAGAAATTTTGTAATGATCTTCCCCAAATCTCTGAATTCCGTGTATTTCTTCGCTTATCTGAAATTCTCAGTTTTGCGATTCTGTTTTTACCATATCTTAGGGCCCTAAATCAAGCTCTCCCTCTCTTTTACCATTCTTTGTCTTTCATTTTTCACCATGTTTTCCCAAACTAGATCAAAGTGATTCCTGTGTCCGTTCACGAAAACTTAAAATTGGTTTCAGTTCAAATTAAGTAAAATTTAAATCACATTTAAGAATCTCCCTTTGCCCTCCTGGGCTTTGGCAATAAACTTCCTATGATGTCTTGTTCAGTGTACACTTCTTTTTGCTTGCAGTTATGCAGAGCTCATTTCTGACTGGCCTGTGGTGGTCCTGGGTGTCTGTACAGTGCTGATTGTGGTATGCACATTGGTAGGCATCCTAGTACCAGACCTGCCAGACTTCTCAGATCCTTTACTGGTAAGTCTGTCTGTCTGTCTCTGTCTGTCTGTCTCTGTCTGTCTGTCCGTCCACAGAGATGTAAGTAACGAATTACATATAGTCTCAGTACAGCACTTGAGAACAGTTTTCCCTGTAATGGTACTTTTTGAAGTAGAATTAAATCATAGTACTTTTAAGGTAATTTTAATACTTTTACTTCACTACTTTAATTTTAATAACGTTACAGAGTAAAAATAACTTATAAGCGTATCAGGTCATAAACGAATAAGAACAAAGCACGGTTAAATTTAAAAGATTCACTAATCAAAAAACAGCAGCTCTGGCAGGAAAAACACTACAGAGATGTCCAGTTTAGTGGAGCATCCAGACGGTCATCCGTATTTATTTTCATATAAACTAAAGAAAACAGCATTAGTATCATCAGCCAAACATGAAACCTACTGAGATCTCCGCTTTCACAACTCAATTCTAGCCTGAGGTAGCATTTCCCAAGCTAGCTGATCTGTAGCTAAACATGTACCGTGTTTACAGGTTTCTTCTTTCTTTTATAATGCTTCTATTTATTAAACTTGAAATCTGATGCGTATATTTTATTACAAGTGCCTGTCAGCTACTTTAGTTAACAGGTGTTGCCCATAACCTACAGTTTACCTGTTTTGCTCTTTTGGAGATAAACGGTTGGTGGGGCTGTGATCCAAGAAATCTTGTCTAATACAGGTTCTTCATAAACTCCGGACAGTAATTCAGTTGCGCTGTCGTTGTTTAAGCTGACTGGCCTGATCTGATCAGACTGCGGGTGGAGTATGAAGTTCATGTGCTGCTGTACACAGACCAATCAGAGCTCACCTCACATAATAACAAGCCCTCAGAGACCCCAGGGTATCACTCAAACAGAGTTTAAACAGTATTGAGCCATAATATTCAAATCATCGTTAGGTCTGACTATAGAAAGAACTGTACAGTTTCTCTCTTTCTCTCTCTCTCTCTCTCTCTCTCTCTCTCTCTCTCTCTCTGCATGGGCGTCTCCTCACCCCACCTTTTTACACCCCATCCATCCATCCATCTATCCATTTTATTTATTTATTTATTTATTTATGACTAGACACTTGTAATCATGAAGGTTTTACTTTAACTTTTTGAGGTATTTATTACAATAAATTAGATTTTATTACCCATCCTTTAATTTTGATATTATTTACATATTTTTAGGGTCGAAGCACGCATGTGCTTAGAACCCTATTGAAATTCTTTTGATTCTTTTGATGATTCTTTTTCTCCTGTAAAACGTGTTGTGGAGAAGACACAGTAAATTATCCAGACACCAAACTTGGAGGGTAGGTGTGGTTTGTGTTCTTCTAGGCAGACCAGTAAAGAGACACCAACTTGCCTGATGCTGGTGCTATAGAGCAGTAATTTACTCCCATATCTCCTGAACGTGAGGCCTACATTCAAAATTCATGGTTCTACATTAATCTTTGGTTTATTCAACATACATCCCTCACTGAGACTATCAACGTCCACCTTGGAATTTTTTGAGATAATTGGCAAATTATGTGATGCTTACATTTTACTGTGTCTTTCAAAATATCCACAAAGCATTGATCTCAAAATGTTCACAGGAGTCTGAAGGTCAAGAATTATTTTTAAAAAATAAATATTTGTAAACAGTATGGCTGATACATGCCAATGAATCCCTTCTGGATAGAGCTAAATTCACAAAAATGGCTAAAGATTAGGTTTGCTTTAACTGGTTCTCATGAAACATAAGAGTCTTAAACCCCATATGAATTTGAGGTAGCACACCAAGCTTGACAACAGTTTTTCCATAGGGGGCGCCATAATATCTTAAAAAGTGTTTCTCAGCAACTGCTTGCACATCTCAATACGATTCAACACTTTGCACTAACAGTTTGTCCCAAATTACACAAGAAATCAGGCAAATTGATTTTAATCTATGAACACTAAATTATAAAATATTGCCGTATTGCATCCAGACACTATTTGCAAATACCCAAAACATAGTAATCATATGTCTTACTGCATGTATCTTGTGGCAAAACAAATTGGTCCAAGTTATGCATTCCACCAAGTCCGACATTTGTGCAAATAACGTCTCTAACAAAAAGTTTAGTTGTTCCACATTTGATAAAAGTTGGAAAATGGATGCTTTCTTGCTACTTCTTGAGTTTTTTTTTTTTTTAAATCAAATTACCTTGAAATTGGTCTTAAAACTATCTGTAGAGTCTGAAGATAAGTAATTAATAAAAACATAATGACGTTCAAGCACAGTGTGGCTGCACAATTTGAATAAATTGTCCTGACCTTGCTTATTCTGACTTAGGGCTACAAACGTATCAGTAATTGCCTGATTGTAATTAAATTTGAAACATATGTACAGAATGACAAATTTAGGGTGTTTTCTAAATTAATTTTAATTATATTACTTAAGCACAATAAATGAAAGTTGGGAAGTAGTTCATAAAATGGTGCTTGGTTCCCTACCAGTAAATTGTCTGAAAAAGTGTGATGTTGCCATAGGCCACTTGCAGCTCACCATGATAACGTATCTCTTCCAATAAGAAGGTACTTCATTCGAATCCTGCCTGAGCTGTTTTTACCAGAGTGAAAACCAGTTTGGAGCAGTGTGTAGTTTGTATCCTGAGAGCTTTTTAAGTCTGGTGAAGTTTGATAATTGTCAAAAACGTGTGATGTTAATGAAGACTAATAATGCTCATGAAGACTGATAGTACTTGGAACCCTATGCTTGCAGCTATATATATATATATATATATATATATATATATATATATATATATATATATGTATATATATATTTTTTTTTGTACTTATGACTGTACAAACATTAATTATGATCTTATCTTATTTTGATGAGGGAGTGCTCTTGTAGATATGTTGTCCTCTTCTAGATTTGCCAGGAGGCTACAATGAAGAAATATGGGATATTTGTGCACACAAACTAAAACCATAAAAATACACTAGATTGGCACAAGTCTGCAGGCACCCCTTCTAATCAGTGGCTGCCTTGGCCACACTCAATGCTAACATGTGCAGCCACATTGGAAGTAGAATAGGTTTTTTCAGCTAATTGGTTTTTACTGTGGCACTGATCAACTCAGATCATCAAATATCTGCTCTAGTAAAGCCTTTCCAGTGAACTGTAAGTGCTCTTTGTGAAGTGACTGACTGAAGTTGAAACACCTTGAAAAGCAGTAAGCCAGACAAGTATTTTGAATCATGCTTCATTATTATACTGTCTGACAGACGAATCTGGGTTTGGCAGAAGCCACGAGAACTCAGTTTGCCTGGATCCATAGTGCCAGCTGTAAAGTTTGTTAGAAAATAAATAATGTTTTTCATGGTTTGAGTTGGGACCCTTAGTTGCAGTGAAAGGAAATCATGATGTTACAATGAAATTCTAGAAAATTGTTTGCTTCCAACTTTGTGGCAACAGTTTTAAGAAGGCTTATTCTGTTTCAGTATCCCTGTCGAGGTGTAACAGTGTTGTAAAATCTAGTGGAAAGCCTTCCAAGAAGAAGGGAGGCCATTGTAGCTGCAAAACTACATATTGTCCATTGTTTTGGACCGAGACAGTTTCATTTGGTGGTGATATTCTGGGGATTTTTTTTAGTGTTTCTTTGATGTATTCTTTCTTTCCTTAGGGTTTTGAACCAAGGGGTACTGCAATAGGTCAGCGGCTTGTGACATGGAACAACATGGTGAAAAATACTGGCTACAAAGCAACTTTAGCCAACTACCCCTTCAAATATGCAGATGAGCAAGCCAAAAGGTAATGAAGTTTTTTTTTAATGCATTCTACACTCCCTGACAAGAATTATGAGATACAATTAGGATTAGGTTAATGGTCGAAACTAGAGTGATTGAGAATCATTTTCATCATTTGTTCTAAAAGAAGAGCGTTTTGAGAAGATCCTCACTGATAATCCTGCTCATTCAGTGTTGGATTAGTTCATGAAAGGATCTGTTTTGGGAAAATGAGACCTCTCAGTGCATCTCAGGTCTCAGGAGCTCTCCTGTCTCTTGAAGTGCTTGATTAAAGAGACTTCCTATATTAAGAACAGGATGCGGCTTGCTCAGAAGTGCTGTCAGCACCTCCTTTTCCCTCAATAATTATAGCGATCATTTTAGTAGTGGGTGTCTGATTGTAACAGAATGATGGGGCTTGTTAAGACTTGAATTTTCACAGTCTTTTGAATTAGCTTAAATGATGGGCCAGATATTTAAAACATGATCTTGCTAAGCCATGCTTGCTGTTCTTGCTGTCTTTTAGTGTGCAAAGTAACTAGTAACTAAGGTATAATTGTTAATTTTCAGTAGATAAAGAAAGCTTTCAGTTAAATTATTTTTTTTATAGTGCTTATTGTTTTTTGTGTGTAGTGCTTCTTACCACAGGTGTTGTCACAAACCATAAATCTGGGCCCAAGCCCCTGTTGTGCAATCTAGGGTTGGTAGTGTAAAGGAAACACTGAGCCTGGTCAACACTGGGTATCAAAACTGTGATACAACCATACCAGTAAGAGAAGTTGAGTCTAACCGTTAGATAGAAGCATTGAGATTAACCAATGATTAATTTTAGAATCCTTACAAAGGTTATTTATAAAGGATGAGAATTAAATCTATGAAGGCCATGAGGACATGTTAACATGACCAAGTAAGGAACTCTGCACACAGTACAAGGCAAATGTACAATATCTAAAACTGAATGTCTGAATCCATGCAGAGAACTGCAGTCACCAGCCCAAACATGGACCACAGCAGGTGTTCAAGGGGGACTGATAATGGAGTGTTCATTAAAATCTCTTTGACATCCAGCTGAGGCTTTTAATCGCAACAGTGGTCAAACTGGTCTGAGGGGTAGGCAGGCACGAATAGCCAATCAGAGTCAATCTTGTATCAGCATCAAACCGGACAGGAGGGGCAGTTCAGCTCAGCGAAGAAATATAACAGATCTGTTAGGAGTACACTGTACATTAAATATTTGATTAGTAGAGTGCAAGCAGAGCCTCTGGCAGGCCTAGCTATAAGGGCTTAGCTAAAAAAGAACAGCTGGAAAGCAGCATAGGAATGAGTTCTCTTATAGATATCAGGACACCCCTCTGCTTCACTGCCAACAAACCGGAGTGAGCATGTGAGACGGGCATGACAACAACAAAATCTTTGTTTTCTTTATTTGTTGAATCTTGTTTCCTTTTGCTTTAAGTAGGGATGCACCATTATGGGAATTAGAAGCACACACTGATATCTACAAGTACATATGAATGATCGTGCCTAGGCTGATGAGATGTAAAAAATCAGGACTACATCTACCTGGGTTTGCATTACAGAAAAATACGGTATTTGTTTGTAGAGGGTTGCAAGGTATGAGAAACATCATCATATTGGCCAAATACAAGAACTTCTGCACAGCAGGTTTCTTCAAAATCTTGCACATAAAGAAAAGAGTGTAGACAAGTCATTAATTTGATAGTTCACAGGGATCGAGATGAAGTTCTAAATCAGAGGCTTAATTACTGCTTATATAAGAGTTCATGGTGTACAGCCATGGCTGAGAAGAAGTTTACATTTGTTTTAGGTATCATTTCTTTGAGTAAACTAAATCAAATAAAGGTGGTTGCAGAAATGGGTGGTCCACATTACATTCTAGTCCTCAAGGCTCACCACTTTGTCAAAAAATTTTATTTGTCGTTAGCAGAAAATAACATTTCTCAGTGAGCAATTGCAAGGATTGTAGGTACTTCTCTACGGTGCCTAGCATCATCAAAAGATTTACTGAATTTGGAAAAATCTCTGTGCGTAAAAGGAAAAAAAGGCGAAAAACCACTTAGACAGCACTGCATGGATGTCTGTGCATGGGCTCAGGAATACTTTGAAAAAAATGTTGTCAAATGCAAGCTAAGACTGTACCAGAAATACTGCTGACTTCTCCGAGCTTGAACTCATTTGAAATGGACTGATGCACAGTGGAAATATGTTTTATGATCAGACGAGTCAACCTTTTAGGTTTTATGGGAACAATGGACGTTGTGTTCTCTGGGCCAAAGAAGAAAGGGTCCATTCAGATTCTGTCATGGTATGGGGGTATTAGTGGGTATAGTGCACATCTGTAAAGGCAGCTTTAACACTGAACACATTTTGGAGCAACATAGCTGCTTGCTAGACACTTTTTCAGGGATGTCTGTGCTTCACTGTGACAATACCAAGCCACTTTCTGCATGTGTTGCAACAGCATGGCTGTGTAATCAGAGAGTGCAGGTGCTTGATTAGCCTGCCTGTCTCCCATTAAAACTTGTCTTATTAAGCTAAAAATACAACAACAAAGGCTCTTTACAGTTGCACAGCTGAAGACCTGTATAACTGAAGAATGGCAAAAAATCTGGATGAAAAACTAGATGAATTATGTCTTCAGTCCCCAAATGATTATTAACACAGTGGTGAACTTGCACCTGTGGCAACTTTTTTGGAACATGTTTCTGGCATCAAGTTTTGAATGAGCATATACTTAAAATGTATATTTTATACGATTTGTAATTTAATATTGGTCAGAATTTGCTAATTACTGCTTTTTGTTTTTATTAGCAATTCACATAGTATCCAGCTTTTTTGGAATTGTAATGTGTAGCTAATCCAAACCCAAGCAGTTAGTGTTACTACTTAATCAGCACCATGGACGAGCTGAACAAGTCTTTTCCCACTTTCTCTTCCATGTTACTTGTGTTTTAGTTCTTACTTGGTATCTAGGTCTCTTCTGTCACATGGTTGTTATGATCCTGGGAGGATGAAGAATAATGTGTGCTTCCTCTGAACCACTGCATGTTTGCAATTGAATGCTGAGGCAACGTAAGGCAGCATGTGACAGACAGCCATGTTTGGCAAGAATCACTGCTATTCGAAAGGGAAAGAGGGACTAAGCCATCCTTCTGTTCTCAGGCGGCTGTAAATTGCTAGGAGTCAGCCTGCTCTTGAAAATAGAGGCAGTTTTTAACAGTGCTGTTAAAATTATGCACTACCCTCAAAGTTGTGAGGCTTTCATTTTGTTTTGTTTGTTTTTTGTTTGTTTTTAAGACCTAGAATGTGTGCAGAAGAGGCTTGTGAATATTGCGTCTATAATTTCACAAATCTGTTTTCACAGATATACAAATCTATATAAAGTTTTTTTTTTCACTGTGGCCTATATAACTTTGACACTGTAAGCTACCTTGTGCACTGAAAACCTGTTTTCATCCTTGTTAAAAGTAAAAGCTTGTGACACAGCATTTTTTAAAGGGTACAGAGATAACAGTTTGCTTAGTCGTACTAAAATCTAGCACTGACCATAGTCATATAATTTATACTGGTAAATGAAGGTCACAGGAACCTGTTGGAAATGACCAATAGAGCAAGTAATAGAGCATGCATTTGTTTGGTAATGCTTTAGCATTGATGATGCTACAGTACTTATGCTTTTATATTTATTTTCCCTTTTTTTGGTTTTGCATTACATTTTTTTATAGTCACCAAGAAGACAGGTGGTCAGAGGATCACTATGAAAGAGATAAAAGGCAAGCAGAATGGGACTTTAGTAAAGACAGTTTCTTCTGTGATGTTCCAGGTAGGTTTTAAAAAAATGTTTTTTGTCACAAAATATAACGTAGTAAAACAAGTGCTTTTTAAATATCTTTCATCTAATGCCCAAATGTGTTTTAACAGGTGAGAGCTACTCTAGAATTGTCTTTGCCTCTGCCGAAGGGAAGAACTTGTGGAATATACAAGCTATAAAATCCATGTGCAATTTTGACAATACCAGGGTATGTGCATTGCTGTATTTTTGGGGAAAGATGTGTTACCCATTTTGAAATCTGGATAGGTATCATTTAAAATATTTTGGTCTAAATCATTCTACATCTTTTTTTTTTCTCTCAATAAAGTGGTTTTTGTGATTTCTTACACTTAAACAATTTAAATTAAATTTTAGAGTATATTAGTGGGAAATATCAGAGCTTCATTGCCTTGTGCTAAAAAATTAATGAAATCTTAATTTTAATACATTTTTGGTTTGACAGTCTACACATTCTGAGCTATCAGCTAACAGTTTCATATTTAGGTCAGGCTAAACATTTGAAACTGTATATCCCAAAGTTTGATATTTATTCTTAGATTCCAGCTCTAGCGCTTTGAATTTCTGTTTATTGACTGACTTTGTTGTAATAATGTTTCATTTATTAAATAGGATTTTAGTAATTTTGGTTTTGTTAACAAAATTAGAGGTTTAATTACAGGTCTGACTGTACTTTCTGCTTGAAAAGCATATTAAACAATCACAACCTGTTGATGTCTTCTTTTCAGGTTCGTTCCCACCCCCAGTATTGGAATTTGTGTCAGCGCACCACAGCTGCCTCTTGTTGTCCTAGCTGGACCCTCGGAAACTACATAGCTGTGCTCACCAACAAATCATCCTGCCAAAAAATAACAGAACGAGATGTGTCGCATACCTTAAAGGTCCTGCGTTCCTGTGCGAAGTACTACTATAATGGTACGTTAGGACCTGAATGTTGGGATATGAATACTCGTCGGAAGGATCAGCTGAAGTGTGCCAGTGTCCCCAGAAAGTGTACTAAATACAATGCTGTGTATCAGATTCTTCACTTCTTAGTGGACAAGGACTTTCTCAATCCAAAAAGCCCTGACTTCCTTCCACCGACTCTCACGTATAGCATGTTGTTCTCTCCCACAGAAAAAGGTGAAAGTATGATGAATATTTACTTGGACAACTTTGAGAACTGGAACTCTTCAGATGGCGTCACTACTGTGACTGGCATAGAGTTTGGCATCAAACATAATTTGTTCCAGGAGTACCTTCTTACAGATACTATGTATCCTGCAATCGCAATTGTGATTGTGCTAGCGGTTATGTGTGTATACACTAAATCAGTTTTTATCACCATCATGACCATGTTTGCCATCATAAGCTCCCTAGTTGTCTCATACGTCCTTTATCGGGTGGTCTTCAATTTTGAATTCTTCCCTTTCATGAATCTTACAGCACTCATTATTCTTGTTGGAATTGGTGCTGATGATGCTTTTGTCTTATGTGACGTGTGGAACTACACAAAAATGGACAAGCCAAACTCTGAACTCTCTGAAACTGTCAATGTCACACTTCAGCATGCTGCTTTGTCAATGTTTGTCACCAGCTTCACCACTGCTGCTGCCTTTTATGCCAATTATGTAAGCAACATTACAGCCATCCGTTGCTTTGGTGTGTATGCGGGCACTGCTATCCTGGTCAATTATGTTCTGATGATAACTTGGTTGCCCGCTGTTGTGGTCCTTCATGAGCGTTACCTGCTGAACCTCTTCATATGCTTTAGGCCTCCACATCAAACTTCTAGGGTCACAAGCTTTCTGACAAGCCTATGTCAGAAAGCCAGCAACTGTATGTTTGCTATTTCGGAGACCTCTCGCATTTTCTTTGAGAAAGTATTGCCATGCATTGTAATCAAGCTGCGCTACCTGTGGCTGTTCTGGTTCCTGGCCATCACAGTTGGTGGAGCATATATTGTTTGTGTGAACCCTAAAATGAAATTGCCTTCCTTGGAGCTGTCAGAATTTCAAGTGTTTCGCTCCACACATCCTTTTGAGCGCTATGATGCAGAATACAAAAAACTTTTCATGTTTGAGCGTGTCCATCATGGGGAAGATCTTTACATGCCTATCACCATTATATGGGGTGTTACTCCAGTAGACAGTGGGGATCCACTGAACCCCAAAAATAAAGGCAAACTGACACTTGATACTAGCTTTAACATTGCCAGCCCTGCCAGCCAGGCGTGGATTCTCAACTTCTGTCAGAGGCTCCGAAATCAAAGCTTTGTGTTCCAGTCTGATGAGCAAGACTTCACCAGCTGTTTCATGGAGACTTTTAAGCAATGGATGGAGAATCAAGATTGTGATGAGGCTCGAGTCTACCCATGTTGCAGTCAGTCCACGTTCCCTTACAAACAAGATGTATTTGAGTTGTGCATCAAGAGAGCTATTATGGAGCTAGATCGCAGCACCATCTATCACCTGGACAGCAAGACGCCAGGGCCAAGATTTGACATTAATGATACTATTCGTGCTATTGTGCTTGAATTTCAGAGTACTTATCACTTCACCTTAGCATATGAGAAAATGCATCAGTTTTACCGGGAGGTGGATGCCTGGATCCAGGAGGAGTTAAAGAATGCTCCAGAGGGCTTAAGCTATGGATGGTTTGTCAGCAACTTGGAGTTCTACGACCTCCAGGACAGTCTGTCAGATGGAACTCTTATTGCCATGGCATTGTCAGTATTGGTTGCCTTTAGTGTTATGCTTTTGACTACCTGGAACATCATTATTAGTCTTTACGCCATAATTTCCATTGCTGGAACCATTTTTGTGACTGTGGGATCATTGGTGCTTCTGGGCTGGGAATTAAATGTACTAGAGTCAGTCACCATCTCGGTGGCTGTAGGACTTTCGGTAGACTTTGCAGTGCATTATGGTGTAGCATACCGCCTCGCTCCAGAACCTGATAGGGAGGGGAAAGTGGTTTTCTCCTTGAGCAGGATGGGTTCAGCTATTGCCATGGCAGCACTCACCACCTTTGTTGCTGGAGCAATGATGATGCCATCCACAGTACTGGCCTACACCCAACTTGGCACATTTCTGATGCTAATTATGTGCATCAGTTGGGCTTTTGCTACATTCTTTTTTCAGTGCATGTGCCGCTGCCTTGGTCCTCAGGGCACCTGTGGGCAGATCCCTATGCCTAAGACGTTTAAGTGTCATGCTTTTGAAGTGGATACCTCTGATACACCTTCCAGTCAAGGTCAAGGAAAACACTGCCAGTTAAGCAAGTATCACTCAGATACCAGGGGGCTTGAGGTTGAGTATGAACTTGAACCCTTGGCAACCAGTGTTACAAATATGGAAAAGATAGAGGACCAAGAAGCATGTATTCAGCTACCCAATGGAAATGTTTCTTATCACGCAGCTTGTTTTCAAATTAAAGGCAAAAGTGATTCTGAAAGAGAAAATTCTGGGCCTGATAATGGCATACCAAGCATTGATCCTGCACATTTGCGTCAGTATGCATACAATGCTAGCAATTGTGGGGATTCTTTATCTCGGCACATATTGAGTACACAGAGGACCCTTCACCAGCCATGTATTCGTGCTAGAGAATCTCCATGCTTAGCTTCACAGTATGGCCTGGCAAGTAATCATGTAGCCAAAGGTCAGAGCATCTTGTCTACACTTGATACAGTGCACATGACCACCAACCATGACATGAACTACGTCCAGTGTGCTTCTGCCCATTTCCATCTGTCTTCCCAGGCTCAAACCCCAAGGCCTGGTCCCATCAAATCCCATGGCTGCTACCTTAGTGGATATGGCATGCACACATTACACCTTCAGCCTCAGGCTCAACCACCTGATGATTCAGGACTGGATGGGTCACTCTTAAACAACCCATGTAATCCCAGTCTCTCTCCTCCTGAGGGCCCCTTAGCTCTCTCCAACTCTGCAGCTCACAATCAGATGCCCCCAGTTCAGTGCTGCAATTCACCTCAGACACCCAGAATCTGTGTAACTAATAATGAAACACAGTCAGGGGATAAAATAGTGAATCCCCAAGTCTTTCAGAACATAGCACGTAACCACATAAAAACAAATGTGAAAAATGACACTTCTGTTTTTGTGCAGGGTAACTATGAGAAGTTTAAGATTGCTCCTACTATGCTGGACAGAAGTGTCCAGTGCAAACAATATCACAAAAACACAAACGAGAACACGGACTCCTCCAAGCAGTTAAAGTACTTTAACAGGACTATAAAGCTGAAGTGCAATTCTGCAGAGTTTCATAAGCCAAAAACTGAAGCAAATGTGCCTGTCCTTGCCATTAGTTCGCACCCCTCATCTGAAAGTTTATGCTGAAGGTTAATAGAGGATATAAGTATATACAGTAATTGTTTTAAGGCTATATTTGGTGTTACTCTACAATTAAATGTGTGGAATTACATGAACACTGCTTTTTTGTCTTTTCTGTAGAAGAGTCTTGCTTAGTATTGATGTGATGAAGTTCTTAAATGTTTTTTTTTTTTAAAACAAAATTCTAAAACATTTGTTATTGAAGCTTTATGTGGAAGTTTTTTTAAAATTTAAAACCGTTTTCACACCTTTAAATTTTATTTACAAAAACGGTTCTTTAAAGGACCATTCTTTGAAAAGATCTTTAGGTATTCTAAAGTGCTTTTTACATAGCATCACTCCAGAGAATGCCTTTTGTCACACTTATTTTTAGTGGAACATCTATTAGTGTAATAATTTCTTAAAATGTGCTGTTGATTGCTTGCTACATATATTCTCAAAAGCAGTGTAATCAATGTAATAAGGAACATCTGCGTATTAATTTGGTCACTGTTATTGGCTGACAGCATGCCAGCAAAAGCGCTATTCAGTTGAATATATTTATGTTGATTCAGTAATCGGTATCAGTTCTGTTGCAAACTACAAGGAGGTTGCCTAACATACTCACGGAAATTGCATCTCTATCCCATCTTGATTTGCTAATGGGCAATCTGAAACATTTAATTTGAGTTTATTGCGAAGACATTTTTACAGTGTAGAAAAATAAAGGGCTTTTATTCATTTTAATTTTTTAAATGAAATGAAGAACATGAATGGCTCCATAATCAGCTGAATTAGATGAAATCAAGAAATACTTCAAAGAACAGAATTAAGAAACACTCATCTAGATGATAGATCAATTATGTTCTACATCAATTATCAAAAATTCTAAAGAAGACAAAAAACTATAGGAATATTCTAAATGTATTTCCCCTCCCCCTACAGAAAAATAAAGAGATAGAAAATCTTAAAATATTGACAAGTGGAGTGATGGAATTTGTTCAGTATTTATCACTGATGCAGCCAGAACGCTTATTACTCCCACTTGGGTTATTGATCTATCTTTAATATTGTATCGTCACCTCCTGTGAGAACTCCCGATCTGCTATGTACTAATTTTTTACATACATAATGGTCCCATAGCTAATATTATGTAAAGGGCAAACATGATATTGGCATGGTGTTATTATGGAACTTTTTCATTATTGTTTACTGATTGTTTACGGTCCTGTCCCTAAGACAAACAGAAAAGGCAGACACTTAATGCAATTGTGCAAGGGATCAATGGGTCTCCTGTGTCAACTCGTCTTTGTTTACCTTCCCCAGCTGCTCTAGCAGCGCACATCTAAAGAATGCGGGGCACATGTCAGAGAACAACTTACCTAAAGGACAGGAAATTCTCAACATTGAGTTTCTCTCCCTTTAATTGATTTATCAGTATGAAAAGTTGTAGAGATTGCATACAACAAGGTCTGAAACCTTTGAGCAAAATGTTTAATCCCGCTCTACAAGTCTGTTCATTGAATAGGTTAACATTTTCATTTCAAGAGTTACATGTGGCCCTGCGATGGACTGGTGACCTGTCCAGGGTGTATTCTGCCTTCCACCCAATGACTGCTGGGATAGGCTCCAGCTCCCTCTGCGACCCAGAAGGATAAGCGGCTTAGAAGATGTGTGTGTGTGTGTGTGAGAGTTAAGTGTATATATAACAGATGAATATGGATAGTAAATTCCAGATTGTATAAAGCTTTGTATACCATGTATTTTACTTGATAAAAGTGTGCATTATGTGGCAGAACAGTAATATGGGTTATAGCCTCAACAGAAAATTACAGATGCATTACACACAATCTAAATTATGGCTGTCAGAACTCCACCTTAACATTAAATATCTAAAATAATCATGAAGTAAAGCTAGTTATGTACTGATACACTGCTTGAGTTTAGACATGGATTTTATGTTTTAACTGTTTCAGTGTGGGACAATTTTTTTTATTTTTAGGTAAGTACAATACATATTATTATAAAGCAGTGATTTTTAAATTTTCCATGACTGGTGGAAACACTGCTTCTGTTTTTTCATAACCCTGCCACATTTCTAAACAAACTGCCTTGACAATGAAATGTGCAACAGAGTCTGCCTATGCTAAACAAGAGTGAACTACCATTTACATTTGTGAGGTAATACTCCAAGCATTGCTACAGTATTTGGCTAGTGTATGATCAGATGGGAAACTTTTTTTGAGGTCTTGATAAATATGCTGGGAATATCTGCTGACACAGTTACGTTGTGACGACCTACTGTTTTGGTGCCTCCATGGAATTTTGCTGAGTTGCCAACAGGTAGTCATAATACCATATGGCAACATTACTGAATAATGAGGTTGTGACGATCTTCTTCAGACAACGTAAACAGCACCACTTTTTGACAACGTTGTAGTAACGTTATAAGAAAGTTGACTACGTTGTGACAATGTTGTGTGTTTGGGATTTCCCTTTTACTGCATGTTCTTTCCTTTTTTTCTTTTTAACAGGGTTTAGAAAGCTTTTGTTAAAAAGACTAGATGAAGACTCATTATATCATATCCTGTTTTTAGCTGATGCTTTAAGCAAATGAGTTAAAAGGAAATAAACAGTCTTAAACTGGTAAAACAAGGATGACAGAGTCTGTTCAAGTGTCAGACTGTAATTGTTTTTGTTTGTTTTTATTATGAAAAGACTTGTGAACCACTAGTTATCATGACATTAAGCTTACACAGTTGTTTAAGAAGTTATATTTTTATGCAGATTTTGGTATTGGACAGTTTAATTTAAATAATAGAAACGGCAGAGAGCTTGCAAGACGTTGCAAAGAGTGACCTTACCAAAAAAGTGAAGGCCTTCAAGCACCAACTATCCTCTCTGGACACCTCACACAGTATTTTCTTACTTCTGTAGAGCATTTCACATTTTGGATGATCTTCCCCTGGCATGAAGTCACATGCCTCAGTGCAGCTGCAGACATTATTCTGATTTTAACAGTGCCTTTGGCACCAATTTGATGTACTTTGAAATGTAGCACAAGCATATATCAAGACATACAAGAAGCCATCATTACAGTGTAACTTTGGGCTGATACCCACAAATCTCCTTTCTGTAAAGCTTGTAATACATAGACAGATACATGTGTTTGTGGTGATTAACAGCATCAGTGCTATGCAGCAGATGAAACGTGTAAGTAAGTCTCAGCTTCTCAACAAACATGGAACAGAGTGCAGCAGAGGAATGGTATGCTGCTTTTCTGAAAACTCGCACTTTAACCCTCAGCAGCGGTTAAAAAAATCTGATTGTCATGCATTCTCAGAGCATTTCCTGTACAACAGTGGTTACCAACCATACTCCTGGAGATCTATGTTCTTACAGACTTTAGCACCAACCCTAATCAGTACCACTTAGTCTTTCTAATTATTGCCTTCAGAAGTCCTTGATTAGCTGAAAGAGGTGTGTTTGATTTGGGTTGCAGATGAAAGCTACAGAAAGATAGATCTCCAGGAGGAGGCCTGGTGACCACAGCTGTACAAGATAGCAGGGTGCTAAAGCCATCTGGATCAACAGAACTAAGATTGTAAGCAAGATCAAGTACTCTGAGATTTTTTAGGAAATATGCCATTTGATACACTCCTGATCATAATCTTAAGACCAGTTAAAAAATTGCAAGAATTTTCACTTTGCACTATTGGATCTTAAGAAGGTTCTAAGTAGAGCTTCACAATGCTAAAAGAAGAAATAGGAGCAAGAGACAAAAGATTTTGAGCAGCCAATTTATTAAAAACAACAAGTTAACTGAAATAGGCTGTTCATCAGCTGATCAAAAGTTTAAGACCATGTCTCAAAAAAATCCGAAAACCCCCCAAAAAACAAAAATTGAAATGTCAAAAAAAGGACTCAGTAGTGAGTTGGTCCACCATTGTGGTTGATCACTTCAAACAATCGTTTAGGCATGCTTGATGCAAGTGTTTCCAGGAGGCTAGTGGGAATGTTGCTCCAGGTGTTGAAGATGGCTTCACGAAGGGCATCCACTGTCTGGAACTGATGTCCATTTTTGTAAACTTCCCTTGCCATCCATCCCCAAATGTTCTCAATCGGATTTAGATCTGGGGAACACGCAGGATGGTCCAAAAGAGTGACGTTATTCTCCTGGAAGAAGTCCTTTGTCAGTCGGGCATTGTGAACTGCAGCATTGTCCTGTTGAAAAACCCAGTCATTACCACACAGACAAGGGCCCTCCATCATCAGGGATGCCCGCTGCAACATCTCCACGTAGCCAGCTGCTGTTTGACGCCCCTGTACAACTTGAAGCTCCATTGTTCCATTGAAGGAAAAAGCACCCCAAATCATGATGGTGCCCCCCCACTGTGCTGTGTAGAAAACATCTCAGGGATTTCCTTGTCATGCCAGTACTGTTGGAAGCCATCAGGACCATCAAGGTTAAATTTTTTCTCATCAGAGAATAAAACTTTCTTCCACCTTTCAGTGTCCCATGTTTGGTGCTCCCTTGCAAAGTCCAAACGGGCAATTTTGTGGCGTTGAAGGAGACGTGGCCTTTGAAGACGTTTTTTGTTTCTGAAGCCCTTCCCTCGCAGATGCTGTCTGATGGTTATTGAGCTGCAGTCAGCACCAGTAATGGCCTTAATTTGGGTCGAGGATCGGCCCGTGTCTTGACGAACAGCCAATCGGATCCTGCGGCTCAGTGCCAGTGAAATGTTTTTGGGTGTGCCGCTTGACTTTTTTGTTCCATGAGCCTCAGGATCTTTTAAAAAATGCAAAATGACTGTCTTACTGCGTCCAACCTCAGCAGCGATGGCACGTTGTGAGAGGCCTTGCTTATGCAGCTCAACAATCCTACCACGTTCAAAGTCAGTGAGCTTTTTTGCTTTTGCCATAATGAAGTCTTGCCAGTATGAATTCTTGACAAAAAATGAATTGGAATCCAAATTTCGCGCAGATTTTGGCTTTTAAAGGCCGTGGTCTTAAACTTTTGATCAGCTGATGAACAGCCTATTTCAGTTAACTTGTTGTTTTTAATAAATTGGCTGCTCAAAATCTTTTGTCTCTTGCTCCTATTTCTTCTTTTAGC